TTCTTTTCTTAGCATTTCGGGCATCATGTTCAGTTCTGGGCCACATTGGCTGCCTTGTTTCTTCATCCTCCCAGTAAAGTCATGAATTCAGCAACCATCACAGTGACTGGAGCTAAATTATACTTCAGATTGTTAGTGATTCTACATGTCTTTGAACCCCTTTACTGTTTGACATGTGCCTGCAAAATCAAATCAAACCTCAGCACAGAGTACAATTCCGGAGTTTCATTTGATCTTTGCAAACCACGTCTTTTGTGATTTTTTTTTTTTTTTTTTTTTTTTTTGGAAGACAAAGGTGGACACATGGAACTTATATTTGTATGTTGTTTCCTCCTGCTCCTCCATTTTTGCCGACGCACTACCTGCAAATCCTGTCGTGAGTGAGCATTGGTGCAAGCTCACTATCTGAGGGCTGAACGGTCCTCACTCTGTGGTTTGGGGTGGCCTTCAATATGGCAGAGCCTCGGTGGGGATGTGCAAACGGAGGGAGAGTGTGTAGGACGAGTGTTCAGGGGGCGGTTTGGGATTGGGCCACTCAGTGGGACTCTTCTTCTCTGCAGGGCAAGAGCTATGCAGAGAGGTTACTTTCCCGGCGCTGCTGCCTCTCTGTCGGACTCTGATACTGCAGGCCTGCTACACAGTGCTCTCAGTTAAAGTGAAGGGGCACAAACTGTGTTGAAGCTGTTTTGCCCCTACTGTAAAACATTCAGGCTTGAGCCCAGGTAGCCACCCCCTAACTCCGCCCATGCGTGTGAGACTTCCACAGATTTTAAATTCCACATTCAACAACTTCAGTTCCTTTTTTCTTGAGCTACTATGCCGTTTCTGTACAGCATGTGTGCCAAACTGAGCAGGTGTGGACCAAAATGATGTACATGTACCAAACATATGTGTACCATTAAAGGCCTACAGATTACTGTTGTTCAGTGAGTGCTTCTGCCATCCTTTCTCCCCTTTAGAGTTAAAGTTTGAGGTTTTTTGCACACTTTGCTCCATCATCATCATCACACAGTATTTGCTGCTCTACGTTTAAATATGAAGCTTTATTTTCTTCAAATTTCTCGCCAGTTTGCACACATTGCGTCATGTCAGCTCCTGTTGAACAGCTGAGGAAAGAGACCATGAAATCACTTCCTGTTACCACCTCTCTGCTTGGTTTCCTGGCAACACAACAGTGACATCAGAGAGGACAGCGAGAAAGCTGAGCAGCTTTGATCCCTGGACCTCATCTTCTAATTACCCTCACTGCAGACAGAAGAGGAAATGTTAGATTAACTCCTTACTCATAATGAAACTCTGCTGTCCGACCAGACACTCATATTGATTCATATAATGAAACATTTTGTCCATCACCGTAGTCTCAGACGAATCAATCATATCTGGAGCCCATTAATCATGAATATCTGACATCTGTGGGGTTTACCGTGATCAAATTTGCATCCAAAAGCTTGTGCAGCATCTTTTTCTTAACTGCACAAAGCCTCACAAAGCAATATTTGCACTCCTGCACGCTTTTCAGGACCCAATCTATGTTCAACGACAGGAATCTCCACATCCATGTAGAGTCTTACGGATGATCCATACAAAGAGTATCAATATTATCCAGCTAGTCTTAGTAAAAACACTGTAAAGGATCAATGAGTTCCGCCAGCAGCCCTGAGATGTTCTATTAAGTTTCACACAGTCATTTAAATCAGCGGGGAGGTATCGATCCAGAGTCACGTGCAGTATTGATGATGGTTTGGTTTTTATGAGCAGAAAGTTAGAGTGAATAACAGAAACTGATGGTTCAGTAGCTCCTTTGTAGTTGGAAATAGAGAAATAGCTCATACAAATGCACCTTTAGTGAGTGTGCTGCCATCATTGTCCAGCCAAAACAGCCTTCACAGATAGACAGGATGACAGAAGGAAAATACAGAAGCAGGAGACACATACTGACCCAGAGATGATGTTTTGTTTTGTTTTGTTTTGTTTTGTTTTGTTTTGTTTTCCCCCTCTAAATATGTCGATATAAATATGAAATAAATGCAGTCGTCTATACATGGGGTGTTATGAGGTCCTAATAAGATATTTTAGTTGAACCCAAAAGCCAAATCAGAGGCAGAGTTCAGTGATAAAAAGAGGTGGAGTGGTCTACTCCCGAGTAGACTGGCAGAGATACCAGAAGAGATGGAGGAATCATCTGGCACCAAGAAGCCTCTCAGCAGAGTTTGAGTGTAGGTGGAGATTGGCGTGATTAGGTGCAGGTGTGTCTGTGCAGAAGGAGCCAGAGCAGGGGTGGATCTGCCCAACCTCTGTGAGGAGGAGAGACAGAGGCTGCGTCCGAATTGCCAAGTATTAGTCGAAGTAGAAGTCGAAGTAGTATGTAGCATGTCCGAATTGGCCACCGGAGTGAGTAGCATGCTACTTCAGATACTACTTCAGATACTAAACACGCCCACATTGTAGTATGGTCGCGGTGCAACCTACGGGCACCGACCCAAAATGCACCGCAGGCTTCTTCTTCGTCCTCTTAAAAGTTGTAGAAGGACATGTGATGCTAGCGCCGCCAGCTGCTGCCTATTTAGATGTGTCGCGAACGCCGGCTGGCCACAGCAGCGCGCACCATGGCGGAGCAGCAGCGGCAGCAGCAGGCAGGACCGCAGCAGTACAGATGTAAGTTTCATGTAACTTCACACACTGTCCTAAAAAATGCGCGGTTGTATCTCTTTGTCATGTCATGGTGTCATATTTGTCCAAGTAATCATTTTATGAGCAAATATGTGGCGACATCATGGAGGTAAAGCTAACTTATTCCATCATTTAACTGCACAGCTGCAGTAATCAGGCAGATCTCACTGAACAAACGATCACCACGTGAGTGAACGAAGGCTAAAAGTAATAGAAAAGCTACTTTGTGAATTTCTAAAGCAGCACAGGAATATAATACAGCAGCATCCATCACTTGCACAATTACCATTCAAAGAGTCTAAAACTGTAACATGACTTTGAGGGGACAGAAAGCAGACCCAAACATTCATCAGCTTTCTGTCTTCTACCACTTTTAGCCAAGGTTTGTTCATTCCAGTAGCATGTGTATTTCTCAGGGACGGATGAGCAGACTGAGCATTTGATCAGGTGGTGGCTCAGCCATGACCACCTGTTCACCAGGCGCAGAAACACAGCCGGAAAGGCATTTGAGTAAGTCAAGCCATTCACGTTTCATGATTCTTCATACAATACGTGTGTCTAATTGTTACCTCACATTACACTGTGTTTGGCCTTCAGGAGGTTCTTGCAGGACAGCCCCAGCCTCCCGCCGCACATCACGGCTGAGAGTGCTAAAGAAAAATGGGACAACCTGGAAGACAAATATCGAGTATGTTGGGACAAAATCTGCCATCAACAGTCAATCCTCCTGTTAATTTTGAAGGTTTGTCTTGATACTCTCATGTCCCACAGAGACTGAAGGCTCCCAAGACAGGCGGCAGCACCGAGGGTGGTGAGGATACAGCAGCATCCTGGCCATGGTTCGAGCTGATGGATGAGGCTTTAGGGGAGCGGCCCAACATCATGCCACCATGCCTCATTGCATCAGCTGGCCAGGATGCTGGTGTATCCTCATCACCCTCAGCCACGGTGACGCCTGCAGAAACACCCTGCAGCTCCCCATCACCCTCCAGCTCCACCACACGGCCCTCCACGCCTACAGAGGCTTCCACCTCCACTGCTGCTCCACGCTCCACCTCACCACCCGCCAACCCTCAGAGCCAGGGCAGCTCTCCCCCGAAGAGGGGGAGGAGGAGGAGGAGGCCAGCGTTGGAGGACATGTGGCAGGAGGTGGAGGCCAGATTGGAGGAGCAGGAGAGGGAGGCTGAAACCAGGGAGGAGAGGAGGTGGAGGGAGTGGATGAACAGAGAGGAGAGAAGAGACAGGGAAAGGGAGGAAAGGGAAGAAAGAAGAGAGAGGGAAAGGGAGCAAAGGGAAGAAAGAAGAGAGAGGGAAAGACAGGAGAGGGAGGACAGAATGGACAGGGGGGCTTGGGAGAGGGAGGAGCTGCTGGCCAGGAGGCAGTACGAGTTTTGTGTTTGAGGATTTCAGTTTGTGTATGTTTAATTTAGGCGACTGCTTTATGTTCGAGTAGGGGGCCCAACATTTTAAATGTTATGTTTTTTTGTTCTTAAATGCCTCTGTTTGTGTTATGGCACTATGACTGTGTGTGTGTCTGCGAAGCACTGTTGAACCTTGTTGGGAAATGGCTACAGGTTCTTGAGTGCATCTCTACTTGGAGTTTTCCAGAAGACGATTTGCCTCTCATCCAAGTAGCTTCTTCAGTTCTAAATGCTGGTGGGGACAGGAGAGTAGTTAACCTCTGTGAGTCATATTAACTAAAGAAAGGAGTTTGAAGCCTACTGGGTCCAAGCCCTGGGAGGGTTGTTAACATTTGTTGGTGTGTTGTTAGTGACTCAGGTGAGTGAACAATCAGTGAAACTAGTCAGGGTGATATCTGCTGTTAGGAAACATGCCACACACAGCATCATTCTATGGCAAAACTTCTCTGGAATAAAATGGTTTGGTCCAAGCAATGTGATGTGTCAATTGTATCTCTGTGTTATAAAGGTTGGTGGAGGTGATTAGCAGATCTGACCTAAGCAGATGGACTTCTCTCAGTGTATTTCATGTTTCAGGTCATCAAGAACCACACCAGTGTCAGGAGCATTTTTCCCCAACAAATATTTAATCATATAGAACAGAAATGAATCATACAGAACCGAAACACAACATAAGTAATTGCCCTATATCAGGCCGCACATTTAAAGGAAACAAATATACCAAATGAAAGTGTCAACAGCACCATGCCCAGCATTCTGCAGTTTTTGGATGACATAGTTAACCTGCACTCCAACCTTCGCCTCTAACATCACTCTTTTACTGCTCTCACTGCTGCCATTGACAACAAAGTGGACCTGAGACTGGCCAAAGTACAGAGAGGTAGCAGCAACAACAAAACAAAACAACAATCAACAATAATCGTGGTCCTGGAGGACAGCAACCACAACCTCTGGGGCAGACACTGCTGCAGCCAGTCGGTCCCGCAGGTTTTCCCCTGACGCTGCATCAGAACAGGGAGGTGGTCCATCTTCCTCAGGGGGAGGCTCGGCCTCGAAGAGGTCACCATTGTCCATGCAGACGTTGTGGAGGATGGCACAACAGGTGACCACCTCCGATGCAAATGCTGGCTTCACCTCAAGGGCCCTGAGGAAGATGGACCGCCAACGAGCCTTCACCAACCCGAAGGCCTGCTCGATAATGTTCCGTGCCTTGCCATGGATGGTGTTGAACTGGGTCTGCACGGGGTTGGCCACAGGTTCCCAATAAGGCGTCAGAAGGCAGATGGGGGCACCCAAACAGGGGTAGCCTCCATCCCCCAGGATGCACCAGGCCTCCGGTGGGTACAGCTGTCTGTAATAGACCGGGCTGTTCCGCAGGACATGGGCATCATGGACGGAGCCAGGGAAGCCAACAAACAAGTCTATAAACCTCCCCTGGTGGTCACAGATGGCCTGGAGCTGGATGGAATGGAACAGCTTACGGTTTAAAAAGTCTAGCTGATGTGCTGCAGGTGGCTTGATGCGGACATGGCAGCCATCATCTGCCCCGACCACTGTCCGCAGAGCTGGACTTCCCCCGAGGCGGCTGAAGCCAGCAGCGATGTCCTCCAGCTGGTCAGGGTCGGGGAGGCAGATGGTGCAGCCCAGGATGCCCACGACAGCCTTGGTCTCCCTGTGCGCAATATCGTGCACAGTGGACTTCCGAATGTCGCAGACTGCAGCCACCACCCTGTAGGACGCTGCATGGGCCAGCCAAAAAACAAACAGCAGTAGTAAGCAGCAGTAAGGGCAGCAAGCAAGCAACGAGAGAGGTGAAGGTTGGGGCGCAGGTCAATGGTGTCATCCAAAAACTGACGAATGATGGGCACGGTGCTGTTGAGCTGAGTGTATGGCCCGCGTGGGCTTTTGTGGTGTCTGGACAAACACCAGAAAAGACTAGTAACAAGAAATACATGACAGAGCTTCTAGTTCAAGCACTTCATGTCAAAGCTTTCCTGTGGCAATGACTCCAGGAATCTCCACATAGAAAATGCAAGGCATAGCATCAATCTGGTTGCAAGGCATGCTGGCTTTTCTCTGAAGATGTGCCACCTCCATGATGGCACTACTATGTTTCCACTCATTGTTAATGAGTAACAGGTGCCTTCTGGTGATGATGCCTAATAAGTCACGGGTGCGCACCGATCATTGTACAGTACTCGCTGCAGTACTACAGCCAGGCCAGCAGATGGGAGGCTTCCGTTACCACTGTCTGCACGGGCGCAGTACCTACTCTCTGCCTGCAGGGGTTGTCTTTCCCCACCGCTCGTCTAGTGTGTCCGAATTGGGCCAATGTGTTTAATATGTAGGAGTAGGATCTAGCAGTAGTATGTAGCAGTAGTATGTAGTATGCGAGCGGGCAATTCGGACGCAGGCAAGGGCTGTGTCTCAATTCAGGGTCTGCACCATTGAAGTGCGGATTTCAACGGTATGTGACATCATCACGCAGCGCTAAGGGTGGTTTCTCATGAAACAATCCAACTGATGATCAACATTTGCGATCCAGGGGGAGTCGAGCTCTGACGTGCACCACGTTTCTCACACCGGCTGTAACCTACACCTGCAGAGACACCAACGCCTTATGGCCTATGGATTAATATCATAATCTCCTTGTTTGAGAAACCTATACTGAAGCACAGTCCCTTCAAATGCTTCATGGCCCTAATTTTAACAACTCTCCTCTGAAATAACAGGTAACTTTACAACTTTATTCTCATAAATTAATGACTTTATTCTGGTTAATTCACTACTTCAATCTTGAAGTCTTTTTTTTTTAATTCTCAATGCGGATCTCATACTCCTGCGTACAAAAAATGTCATGTCACGTCTTTTGTTCCATGTATGTATTGTATGTATGCAAGGTCTCACAATTGGTGGGGTGGGGACATTTAGCGACTCAACCAGGAAGTCCTTCGAAGGATAGACTGTCCCAATTCACAAAAGCTGGACCATCTCACCCAGGGTACTCAAGTCTACTATACAGAAGGGCAGTGCATACCCTGAGTTGAGAGCCAGCCTGGGACTCCACACAAACAAAAATCACTTTAGGGTGCCAACAGAAAATAAAATAAGTGCTAATCACTACACAGGGTTTAGTAACATATATGCATCTCCCTCACTAGCTCATAACAGGAAGCAGAACAAACATGATATACAATTAGCTCAGAGGCTTGGATCCCATTCACATCAGAGATTAGACTAATAGCTGAAAACTGTGGCGTACCCACTGAGTGTTTCAAGAGTGGAGGCATTTTCTGTAAACTTTTCCCCCTCTACACTCCATATTTGTACAGATGAGTGGATGCTTAAGATCCACAACCCACAAAAATGTCCACAGCTTCACCAGTTTGTCTGTTTATTTCCATGGTCCATCTGAGGACAATCACATATTATTGTCTCTCCAACCATCAACAATGCCAATTAGTGACCCTGCAGCATTATTGTCATTGTTTGCCTGAAAATTTGTATGATTTCCATCAGATATATGGTTGTGATCTTGAGAGATCCCCATTCTCTGCAAAATCTTGCTCTACATCTTCAGTCTCTGCAGTTGCTGGTGAACCATCTTTAGATGTGAAAGGGCGTTGATGACAGTCCTAAAAAAGCATTTTAAACTATTTTAAAGTTTTCTGGGGCATGAATGATGGGCCTAACACCAGAATTAAGAAATAAATTATCAAAATCAGCTGTGCACTCGCTAAAGCTTCAGGCCTACTGATTTTTTTAGTGCAAAATCAAAATCACTGTCCATCCTCTGTCTGACTTCAGTATCTAAAATGTCTCATCTTACACCTAAATCATCTTGTCAGTGCTTCAGCTGCTAAAACAAGAAGTTTATTAAAAGGTTTCTCTCACATTTACTGCAGGAAATACCTTGGCTGTATGCTTAAAGGGGGGAGTGAGCCTAACTTGTGTGACCACTGAAGATCAACCTGGCACATGGGTGAAGTGACTGTATGGGCCTAATGAACAGGAGCACAGGAAGCAGGTTGAACAAAGAATAACTAGAGAGCTGAAAACAATGGACCTCCAGCCAGTGAAAAAGAAAAAAAAAAACAAAGAAAAAAACAGAAGTGCTTTCAGCTTCTGTTTGTTCCTCCATCATTCCTTGTGAGCGGTAATTGCACAGCGAAACATCCTGTTTTGAGTTACCTAACTCAATAGAGGCGCTGCTGCAGTAAACAATAAGAATATTTCCTAAGCTGTGTAATGGAAAGAAACGCAGGGAAATGAGTTGTGACAGAAGAATGTGCCAATTGAAGTTAATGCAGCCTAACATATTTTCTCCGGCTTGTAAAACATCCATATTTTGTCCTGAATAGGAGGTCAGACTGACACACTGTCTTGTTTATTCTGCTGTGAAGATAACAGCACCCAAAGGACGCTATGGATGGGTTGATAAGATTCCAGCAGAAGGGGGGAAAAGGGTTTGAATGATGTTTACTTATTTGTGCTAAAGATATGCCTTTCAGTAATGCCATATGTGCAACATGTATCAAATTTTCACTTTTGTTAAGGAGGACTGATTAATTTCAGCACTAAGTTTATTTGGTGATAAGGCTTCATTCTGGGAGCTCCCTGCCCCTCCATGTGCGTACATGGAATGCAAAGACCTGAGGCAGACAGAGCACACCCTCTCTGTTTCATGTGCATATGTGTAAAGCCAAGGCAGGGAGAATTGAAGCGAAGACCCCAGGGCACCGAACAGAGCAGAAATCAGTGACAAAACCTATTATACTGGTAAAATGAGACCGCAGAACAACAGAAGGGCTGGAGTGGAGGCAAGTTCCAATTTCAGACTTGTCGCTGATGGTCTTATTTGCTTTTAAGGGTCACAAAGAGGCATCAAGAGTAGTTTCAGACTGTTAAAAACTCCTCAAACAAGCTTTAACCACCATTCTCCAGCGCCTAGATCCTACTCAATTATCCAGGACTTAAAGTAACACCAATTAAAGCCTCTGTTAGAATAAACAAGGCAACAAGCAATTGTTACTATGAAAAAAAGTACACACTAACCATTCAAGCAAATGCCTCCTGGACCACCTTAACGTGTGGACCAAGCATAGACTGTACATAAAATGGACGTCATCTGCGTCCTCGCTTGGGGAAGCTTCCATGAGGACGGCACCCCCAGGTGACTGGTTGCAGTATAGGTCATAAACCCTGCCTCTTCCAGCAAAATGAATAGAGCTGTAGACAAACTTTAAAAGTTAATACAAAACATTTAAGTACAGTCTATGATCCCAGCACAATAGCCTTACCATGAATTTTCATTTTCAGATTTAGTTGACATACTTTATATTTATCAAGCAGTAGTGAACGACATTGGTTTCCCTGAGTGCATTATAGTTTTGTGTGTTCCCAATATTTTGCTACCCTCATGCATGTAACACAGTAAATGAAATACTAGAACATAGATCATTGATACTCCAATATTATAACCAAACACTCTTTCAAGGCAGGATGACATTAGTAGACATATTTATCTTTTTTTTTTTTTTAAGTGAGAGATCGAACATTTTTTTACTAGTCAAGATCGCTTAACCCAGAGTCTTACAGGGGAACATGCAAATTCTACTCAGTACTGAGGTCCAAACCATATTCACTCCTGTGTGATGATAGAAAGTCTTAAGAGGATCCATCGCGGAGGTCCTTGGAGCCTCCTGTGGTGTTGTCACAGGCTCTCTTTTGGAGATCATGTCCTGATGGCAGGAGCTGAGATAGTGGTTTCTCTCTTTTGATGGGAATCTTGATCACCATTCGTCAGAACTCGCAATGACTGATTTGATGACTCATGCACCATTGGTCAGGCCTTCACCAGCTCAGTGCAAACATATCCAGTCTGCCACCAGCCAGAACGACTCTTTGTTTTAGCCTACCTGACACCCTTGCCTGCAAAGGTCACAACAGACAAAATCAGTTCACAGCCGGTACCTGTTGCCTCTAGCATCTCCAGAACCGCTAAGGTTGCCGTGTTCACATTTGCACAGTGTCACATCATTCTCGGTGAGTATGCAGTCTCAGGGGCAAAGTTTAGTGTGTGGTTGATTCAACTTTATAGTGTACATTTAGTTTTAGACCCTAGTCAATATTGTAGTGTTGCTAAGTTTTGTGTATTTAAAACAGTAATAATCATGTCACAGTGACAAAAATGTAATCCAATCACAATGCAGGAGCATTAGCCAATCACAACACACAGGAAGTCGGGACTTAGTGGAGGTACGGAATAGTGGTGGGCAAAACCGTTCATTTCAGTGAACCGGATCATTCCGGGTCATTCAGTAAAAAGACCCGTTCATTTCATTCATTTCGGTCAATCGGTCGTTAGTCAGTCCGCTTGTTCATGTTGTTCACGAACGTGATGAGCGAACGGACTGACTGCACTTCAGACTCAACAGCGCAACAACATGTGATCTTGAATTCTGAGGCATTACACCCCTCCGGATCTGACGTTGCAAGCGTCTCAGCTCCCCGGTCCGACGCTGTGACCGCTGCACTCCCCACTTCCCACCCCCGGTCCAACGCTGCGATCGCGCTGCACTCCTTGTAATATAGAATTATAGTAGGAATAACAAAATATATAAGGTTTTTAATGGTTTTTATTATTTTGAGGTGCATTAAAAACAATAATAAAAAGTACAAAATGTCAACAGACAGTGCAAATGCGTATTAATAGTTGTCTCTCTGCCTCTGGCTGCAGCAGCAGCTGTGTGCCTTTGTGTGTGTGTGACTGTCCCGCTCGCTCGGGCTCGGCTGTCAGCTCGCGCGGCGGCCAGTCAACTCGGTCTTGCAGTCAACTCGCTCACCGTCTAGATCTTTCGTTCAACTCGGTCTTTCGTTCATTTAACCCGTTCTTTCAGTCAACTCGGACATCCCGGTCTTTCAGTCAGCTCAGTAGTACTGCTGCTGCTTCTCTAAGCCCCACCCACACACGGAACGATGCGCGACAATAGGATAAGACAGGCAAGCACGGAGATAGTCCCTCTTCAGCCAATCAAAAGAACTGAATGGACTGAACGGGTCATTTAGGGGGGGAGAACTAGTTCATTTCGTTCACCAAAAAGAACTAGTTCTTTTGATCCGTTCGTTCAAGACCGACACACCACTAGTACGGAAATGCTTGGATGAAAAGTAAAAACAGCAGTTTTATTTTGTCACTTTACAATGGTTTAGTGTAATTTTTGCCGAGGTGGCCCGGGTCAGGGAGAAAGTGTTAGCCAAGGTTGTCTGTGAGAGCAGATTAAGTGTCCAGACTCAACCTGTCACTGAAAATACGGCTCAACTGTGGGAGCCGGGAACGCTGCCAGGGAGCGAACAGCAAGTCCAACACATTTTCCAACCTCATAATCTTTGCACAAAAAGATGAGGAGAAAAAAACTGACAACGGGAAGTGATGTAAACAGGCAGGTGCTGCTTCCTATAAGCATAGAGAAAGGAAAGAAGGGATTTAAGGTGGGGGGGGGTTAGCAGATGGTGGTTAAGGGAAGTGGTGCTGAGAAGAGATATGAGGAGAATGGTAGAGTACGAACGGAGGAGTAAGGATGTAAGTCAGTCTCGAGGGGAGGATGAGGTAGTGGGGTTATCCACCGGCTGGTCTGGGTGTGCTCAGAGCAGCTTCAAACCATATGAGCCCAGCAGAGAGGGTCAGAGGGAGTTGCCGAAACCTGCAGTAGTCCAAGAAGCTGAAGATGGAGAGATAAATAAAGAGAGAGTTCAATTTACAGTTCATATCATATCCAGAGAAATGTGAGGAGGGTGTTCTTCATTTTACTTTTATTTAAAAAAATTTGGGGAAGAATGTCTTTGTTGTTGCTAAAAGTAAGTTTGAGTGAGCATTTACTGTACAAATCACCATTGCCGGGCTTCATAACTACTACTTACATACCCCAGTACTCAGCTTTGTGCTTGACTCAGCTTGGATGAGGACTTCGGTTAAAGGCCCTTAATTGGCATTATAGGTCTGTCTTTCATAGAAAAGAAGGTTTGATTTGAGTAGAATTGGAAAATTGCAACATGTGTCAAACAAAAGCAATTCTCTCACTTTGGGGTAAATACAGAATTTCGCCAAAATTTTCCAATCAGGCTTGCCATAAAAACTTGGGATGAAGTCAGGGTGAAATTTTTAACAGTTTGCATTCATACATGCGATGACAGAAGGGTTTTGGTTTCCCACCAAGTCATCCGAGGTCAAACTCTCCCTCTGTCTCTGTTTGTTTGTCTCTTTTTTTGTCTTAAATCTGCACCAGCAGAATGAGGGGAAACAATTTAGTCAAAAGACATCTACCTGTTGAACCTGGAAGATCTTAGTCAGTCTGTCATGTACACCAAAGAGCTTTTTATAAATATGTTACTGTTTGTTTGTGAGTGGAGTAAAATTCTGTGGTTAATTGGTCTCAATAAAACAAAGTAAAGAATGAGTGCTGCAGGGCCCTCATGAATCTTTTTTATCATAATTATTATAATTAATTAATTAATTAATTAATTATTATTATTTTTTTTAATTCAAAGTCTACAGCTGTCCATGTGCTTGCATTTTTTTGTAAGAAATCAGGACAGCAACACAGACGAGCGTGCAAACAGAATGCAGGATCTCCTCTGAAGGCATCATGATTTCATTGATTTTTACTGAGCAACTCCAAATTTTGCCTTTAAAGAGGGGGTAGTATGCATTCATTTCATACTCTATACTTTCTTTCTGATAGCTCCTTTAATATCTTTACGCTTTGTTTGAGCAGCTGTCTCTTTAATGCCCCTCCTCCACAACTCTACTTTATTCTGGCTGGCCACCTTTATAGAGGCTTTCCAGAAGCCGGCCAAGGGCAGAGCTATGGTCGATCAGTAAAGCAGTAGAGCACATGTAGAAATATACAGTATATATATACAGTATATTATGTCTATGGTTACCCTGCTCCGCTGTGGGTGCCACTTAACTCGTTGTTAGAAGCAGGCAGTTAGGGTTTGCCAAAAGCTCAGATGAATCAGTTAAGAGTGATTGTAATGTTGAAGCATGCGTTTTAGTTAGGTGAGACTTTGCACAGGCTCCTTTTTTGAGCAGTTAACATATATTTTCTAAGATTATGACAACATGCATTTACCTTGTGATTTGAAACTTTGCATACATCAAGTAGGGACACCAAACATTGTAACTTTGCAGTTTTTGTTATAAATGTGGAAAAGCATAATAGCCTGCCATCCCTTAAAATTCTCAGCACTGCTCTTGCTTGAATTTGCATAAAGTTACTTGACACATTCTAATTCTTTTATTCCTATCTTTTCCCTTAGTTTTTTGTTTGTTTGTTTGTTTGTTTTTTTTGTTTGTTTGTTTTTGAGGAAACCTGTGCTCGAAAGTGAAATCAGCTTTGTGTCGAACAAAAAGCAGGTGTGTGCAGAGCTCACTGTGAGGAGATGGAGCTGAGAACTGAAGAACGGTGGTTATGGAGGAGGAGAGGGGGATGGGGGAGGATTGGCTCCTCATATCCATTTCACCCCCCAAAAATGGGAAAAAACCTGAGGATAAATCCCTGAAATAGATTTGAGCTCAGAGTGGCAGACTCCAAGCTGTTTCTCTTTTCCATGCGGCAGCTGTCTTCAAACGTCTGGGATGACACAGCACGCAACCTGTTTATTGACTAGCAGCAGGAAAGGCTTTCAATGCTAACAATGTGTGCTACTTACAAGTCTCGTTGCTGCTGCTGCCTGTTTTTTTTTTTTTTTTAACTTCATCCCTCTACCTAAAAGATGGGGGACTTGAAAACGAGGCAGGGAGGAAAGCTGTGCATCAATATTCATTCATGCAGAACATGCATTGTCAAGCAGAAATAGAGACGGTGATGAGTGCTGCATTTATTTGTCATTTACCTCCTGGTATGCTAATATAATGAGGCCTGCTCACCAAATAACCAAAGTCTGCATGAATACTGATTTCCAAAGGCAACGTGAACACAAACACTGCCTTCAAGGCTTCTTTTTTTATTTCCTCGAGAGAATACTTAGTGGTAATAGTGGACTGTTTTTTTCCTTTGAGGCAGTGGAGAGAAAATGATATTATTCCATCAGCATAAGGTTATTGCATTATGTGTTCCTTATGTACTTCAATAAGCAATAAATCTTAAAGCAGGGCAGCAGGAAAGCTGAACAAAGATAGAGCAACTCTGTGTTTTATTGATGACAGTGTTGAGGCGATTCGACAATCCCGGCTCTTGTTAGAGTGCAGATGAGCAGGACTGTATGAGGATTATCAAGAGGTCAGGAAGGAGGTCTCTACTATCATTTCTTCCTTTCTACATTTATTTTTGGGCTTTTCATGCCTTTAATTTGAAGAAAAAAAATAGTTGAAGAGAGTGGGACCCCCTGTAGTTCTGATGATGCAGACACAAATATCACACTTAGGCTTTCACAGCATGTTTTGATGTCAGAAATCCTGAAATGGTCCCAAAGTTTGCAGAGTGCACATGTGAAAACAGCTTTGGTGTCCAGCACTTTTGGTTACTGCATATTGATCCAGTGCATTTGCACCATAAGGTCATGTTGCAGCCACAGTGTCTCTGTTCAATGTGATCTAGTGGAGCATCTCAATTTTTGTAGGCCAATACATATGAGGACCAAGTGAAGAACTCCCCAGTAGGTCTTCATTGGGATCTATTTGTTTTATATTTTTCAATTCTCAACCCAACACTGCGGCTCAAATGCTTTTCTACAGTGAGACACGGTGTAAAGTGAAAAATCAGTGATCCCCTCACTCAGTGTCTCTAGAAGAGGATTTTTCTGCTTTCCTTCCTTCTGATTTAGGAAATATTGATCCCACTTTTTCTTTTAACCCTGAACATGCGCCACTCCTGCCTTAGCTGTGAGGAAAATCTGAGCCTGAAAATGGATAATGAGAGAAACAGAAATACTTTAACACACTTTACACTCTCCAGCAACCCTCTTCTTCTCCTACTCTGGTTATTT